GTCTCCTATAAAACTCCCTCACCACTTCCAAACAACCCCCCACAAATGCCACCACACCCCAGAACGCTCAAACAACTCCACCACCCCAAAATCTGAACCAAGATCCGACCACCTTCAACCCCCAGACACCATATCCCCACTTGATCCAAAATACCAATCCCCAAAACTATCCACAAAACGATCAAGCCGCACAGAACGTCCCAAGCCCTTCCATAGCTCCACCCCTCCCAAAAAGAACCACATTCCAAGTCCTCGTTCCGGCCGAGCATGAGGTGCACGGTTCCGAGTTGGATCATGACGAAGAGCAGTAGAGAGAGTGTAGGGTGAGGGAAGAGGCGAAGATAGACATAAAGGAGGAGATCAAAAGGGCAATGAAAGAATTGCAATGCATTCCAGACATCGCCGGGTGAGGCTATGCAGAACTATGAATCCAACCAGACTTGGACCTCCCTGAAGGGTTCAAAATCCCGAAGTTTGATGCCTTCGGGGGGTGGGCAACCCCATGGCGCATTTAATAGAATACTGCGGCCAACTCGTGGGAGTTGGCAAAGATGAAGCTTTGTTGATGAGGTTGTTCCGCCGGAGTCTATGTGGCGAGGCCCTGGATTGGTTCACGTCGCACGAAACTCGACAATGGCCCAGTTGGAGCGCACTGGCTAAAGATTTCATACAGATTCGCTTACAATGTCGAGATAGTCCCTGATCGGGACTCCTTAGTGAAAATATAGCAGAAATCCACAGAGAGCTATTGGGAATTTTCATACAGATGGAGGAAAGAGGCAGCTAGGGTGATGCCTCCAATGACGGAGAAGGAGATTGTAGAGGTGTTCGTACGGGTGCAAGAGACCGAATACAATGACAGGATCATCTCATTGATCGGTGCCAAGTTCGCCAAGATAATAAAAGTGGGTGAGACTATCGAAGATGGCCTGAAGTCGGGGAGATAGCCCGAGTGTCCGCGTCGCCTAGATCTTCCGGACATGTGAGGAAGAAGAGAGAGAAGGTTGCCGCTATTTCATACGGGGGAATAAAAGTTCCCAGAAACTCCCCGCGTCCTCAAGACCGCTCCAAGCCTCCAACAAAGTCTCACCAAGCCTATCGTCCACAATCCAATCATTCCGACAACTACCATGCTGCCCCGCTTATCCAGATGCTCAAATTTTGTCATATCAAAACCCACCCCTGAATCCCCAAAATTTTACCTCCGTATACTCAAATTACCCCCAAGCTTATCAAATTCCTCCCCCTTACAAGAATGTCGCTCCCAGCTGCGCTAATTACAGCCAAGCTATCGAGCACCTTTCCCCGCATATCAACTCGAAACTCCAACATACCAAAGCCCCCTCCCAAATTACCAAGCTCCAGTGCAAAATTAAAAGACAAATCCCTACCCCAGAACCCAAGCTCCTCGCCCAAATACTCGTAATTATCAATAAGTCCCTCCCCCTCAACAGAGCGGGTATGATCCTTCTCGTCCCAGGTTTGAGAAGAAACCCTCCAGAAATTTTACCGCGCTGGCTGAAAGCATAACCAAGCTGTTCGAAAGATTATCAGCGGCCGGATACATCCACCATGTGGGGCCTAAGCCCATGGATGTCAACTCCAGATTCTACAAACCAGAACAGAGATGTGCTTATCATTCCAACAGTGTTGGACATGACACTGAAGACTGTATCAATCTTAAGCACAAGATCAAGGATCTGATTGACTAGGAAGTGGTCTCCCTCCAGCCTGCGGCGCCGAACGTCAATACCAATCCGTTGCCGAATCATGGGGGTGGGAACATCAACATGATAGAAATAGACTAAGGCGAGTGTTAAACCAAGAGAATTACTCCTGTTGTGCAGGAAGACTTGGAAAAGGTTGTCGCTTCTTTAAGCGTCAGGGAAAAAAGAGAGTTTGTTATTCTGACACCTGCGAAGGATGTTTCCTTGGTTCCCTCAAATACTCTCGCCAAACCCAAGTTTGTCATAGAAACAGTCGTGGCTCAAGGCATGACTAGATCTAGCAGATGCTACACTCCTGATGAGCTTTCTATCGGAGGACAAAAGAAAGATCATGCCAACAGACCAATAAGTGAAGCAGAAGCCGAGGAGTTCTGGAGGAGAATGCAGCCTTAAGATTACTCCATTGTCAAGCACTTGGAGAAGACACCAGTCCAGATTTCTGTGAGGGCCTTACTGATGAGCTCCTGGTCCCACAGACAGGCTTTGATGAAAGCCCTGGATGACACGTATGTTCCCTAGAGTACAAGCAGCGACAACGTAGATGACATGATTCACCAATTCATTCGGGGACACCGCATCAGCTTCTGCGATGATGAAATACCGACCGAAGGGATATCCCATAACAGAGCTCTACACGTCACTGTGATGTGCCGCGGAAAGGTCGTCAATCGTGTTTTGGTAGATGATGGATCTGGTTTGAACATATGCCCCTTGTCCACATTGAAACAGCTGAGGTTTGACCTCGGAAAATTGGAGCAAAACCAGGTTAATGTAAGAGCGTTCGATGGTATGCAGAGAGACACATTAGGAGCGGTGAACTTGACCATCCAAATGGGCTTCGCGGAGTTTGACGCGATGTTCCAAGTGTTGGATATTGACACCAGCTATATTCTTCTTTTGGGAAGGCCATTCATTCACATGGCTTGAGCCGTCCCCTCAACTCTCCACCAAATGATGAGACTGGTGTGGAAAAATGAAGAGCTAGTTATTCATGGTGAAAGAATTCACTCAGGCAAGCAGGTGCCAGTCTTTGACGAGACGCCGCAAGGTTCCAATTTTACACGGTGGAGTTGGTAAACCCCACCGATGAGGGCTTGGCCCCACAGAGCCCCATGCCGGTCGTGTACAGAATGATCGCCACGGTAATGCTGCAGAATAAGTTCGAACCAGGTTTCGGATTGGGAAGAAATTCCCAAGGGATCATCGAGCCAGTTCCAGTCCTTGCTACAAGATCAAAGTATGGTTTGGGGTACATCCCCACAGATGATGATGTGAAGATGAAGAGGAAAAAGGATCAAGAGTTGACTAAGCGTATCACGTATCTGTATCAATCCTTTCCAGTCCGGGAGCATGTCGTGCCTGAAGACTGTGGGGAAGGAATCTGTGACCTTTTCAAGGAGATTAATGTTGTTATCGAGGAAGAGGTCGAGCTAGCTTGCATTCGTGATGCGGAACCAGGGAAGATGCTGCAGAATTGGACTTTCACGCCAATCCTGATGTCCCGAACTCTTTGGTAGAAAGGAGTTATTTTATGCATATTAAAATAGGTGGTCGTCCAGAAGAGGCCCGAGACCCACCATTTCTGCATTTTCTTAATTCCTTGAATTTTGAATTTTGTTGTGATGTTTAAAAACCGACAGGGCCCTGTGCCATGGCCCAAGTTTGCATTTTGTTTGATTTAAATGAAAGCCTCCTTATTTTGACATTGTTTATTTAATCGCTTGTTATATTTTAGTTTCCTAATTTTGTCTTTTTATGATTTCAGTAACGTAAGTTATAGACCTGCTAATGTCATGTCATTTCATGAGCTAAATGGGCAAAATGAGACAAATAACGATGAGGTTGACGACTATGAAGAAAGTTGGGAACCAGAAAATGTTGCAGAAGAATTTCGACAGTTCGAGAATCAACATAAACTGTATCTGGAGGAGGCAGAAATGGTGAATTTGGGAGATTCGGAATGTGTCAAAGAGGTTAAGATTAGCACCTATCTGAATGAAGCTTAGAAGATGAGCCTGGTTCATATGCTTGCCGAATATAGTGATGTGTTCATTTGGGAAGTCGGCTACATGCCGGGGTTGAGTACTGATCTCGTATCTCATAAGCTACCTATCAACCCAGGGTTCATACCGGTGAAGCAAAAGACTCGGAAATTCAAGCCTGAATTGAGTTTGAAGATTAAGGAAGAAATCACCAAGCAGATAGAGTCTCGATTAGTAGAAGTAACGCAATATCCAACCTGGTTGGCCAATGTCGTTCTGGTTGCCAAGAAAGATGGGAAAATCAGGATTTGTGTTGACTATAGAGACCTCAACAAGGCTAGTCCGAAGGATAATTTTCCATTGCATAATATCCATATTCTGATTGACAACTGTACCAAACATGAGATGCAGTCATTTGTGGATTGTTACGCGGGTTACCACCAAATTTTGATGGATGAAGAAGACGCAGAGAAAGCGACCTTCATCACACCTTGGGGGGTACATCACTACAGGGTAATGCCGTTCGGCCTCAAGAACGCTGGTGCTACTTACATGAGAGCCATGACGACTATTTTCCATGACATGATTCACAAGAAAATTGAAGTGTTCGTGGACGACATCATAATCAAATCCCGCGAGAGTTCGGATCATGCGACACACCTGAGAAAATTCTTTGAACGTTTGCGTCGGAACAACTTGAAGCTAAATCCCGCCAATGTACTTTTGGAGTCCCAGCCGGGAAGTTGTTGGGGTTTATAGTGACCAGAAGAGGTATTGAGCTCGACCCTTCCAAGATTAAAGCAATTCAAGAGTTACCTCCGCTGAAGACGAGAAAAGAAGTGATGAGTTTCTTGGGGAGGTTAAACTATATCAGCCATTTTATAGCACAATCGACAGTGGTATGTGAGCCTATTTTCAAGTTGCTGAAGAAAGACGCTCCGACTATGTGGACTGAGGAGTGCCAAACTTTTTTTGATGCTATTAAGAGCTACTTGTCTAACCCACCAGTATTGGTTCCTCCACGAGAAGAGAGTCCTTTGTTGTTGTATTTGTCTATTTCAGATAGTGCCTTTTGATGTGTGCTTGGTCAACACGATGAGACAGGGAAGAATGAAAGGGCTATCTACTACATAAGCAATAAATTTACTCCGTACGAGTCTCGGTACACTTTGCTGGAGAGAATATGCTGTGCTCTGACTTGGCTTGCCCAAAAATTGAGACACTATTTGTCATCGTATACACATATCTTATCTCAAGAATGGATCCATTGAAGTACATTTTCCAAAAAGCGATGCCGATTGGAAAGTTAGCTAAATGGCAAATGCTTTTGAGTGAGTTTGATATCGTGTATGTGACTCAGAAGGCAATAAAGGCACAAGCTTTAGCTGGCCATCTTGCAGAAAATCCCGTGACGAAGAGTATGAACATGTTAAGCCATATTTTCACGATGAAGAAGTGTCATTTGTGGGTGAAGATATTTCTGAAGCATATCCAGGTTGGAGATTATTCTTTGACGGAGTGGCGAATCACCAAGGTAAAGGTATTGGAGCATTCTTAGTGTCACAATCTGGACATCACTATCCTATGGCAGCTAAGCTACGATTCAATTGCACAAACAACATGGCTGAATACGAAGCTTGTATTCTTGGTTTAAAAATGGCCATTGAAATGAATGTTTACGAGTTACATGTTATCGGAGATTCAGACCTTTTGATTCATCAGGTTCAAGGTGAATGGGCAGTGAAGAACCCAAAAATTATACCTTACGTACATTGTGTGCAAAATCTGTGCAATAGGTTCCGCAAGATCGAGTTCAGACATACTCCAGAATACAAAATGAATTAGCTGATGCTCTTGCCACCATAGCTTCAATGATCAATCATCCGGATACTTATTACATCGACCCGCTGGATATAGATTTGAAGGAACATCCAGTCCATTGTTCACATGTTGAATCAGAACCAGATGGTTTGCTTTGGTATTTTGACATAAAGAGATACTTGGAGTCTGGGGCATACCATGAAGACGCTACATCTAATCAGAAGAAGTCGATACGTCGTATGGCTCTCAATTTATTTATGAATGGAAAAGTCCTGTATAGGAGGACTCCAGATTTGGGTCTTTTAAGATGTGTAGACGCTGCTGAAGTTGTGAGGCTTATTGAACAGATACATGCTGGAGTTTGCGGTACGCATATAAATGGGCTTACTTTGGCAAGAAAGGTTCTTCGAGCCGGTTATTTCTGGATGACTATGGAGAATGACTGTTGCAAATTCGTACAAAAATGCCACAAATGTCAAGTGCACGGCGATTTGATACGGGTGCCACCTCACGAACTTAATGTTATGAGTTCACCTTGGCCATTTGTATTTTGGGGAATGGATGTCATTGGTCCTATAGATCCAGCCGCTACTAATGGACACAGATTCATTTTGGTTGCCATTGATTATTTCACCAAGTGGGTGGAAGAAGCCTCTTACAAGTGGGTGACCAAGAAAGTGGTGGCCGAGTTTGTCCGCAACAATCTGATATGCAGATTTGGAGTTCCAGAATCCATCATTACTGATAACGATGCAAATCTCAACAGTCATTTGATTAAAGAGATATGTGAACGATTTAAGATTATTCACTGAAAATCAACTTCTTATCGCCCTCAAATAAACGGAGCTGTAGAGGCCGCCAACAAGAATATCAAAAAGATTTTGAGGAAAATGATTGACAAACAGCGAGGTTTGCATGAAATGTTTTCCTATGCTCTACTAGGTTATCGAATGACGGTCAGAACATCAACTGGGGATACTCCATACTTGCTAGTATATGGCACAGAGGCAGTCGTACCTGTTGAAGTCGAGATACCGTCATTAAGAATCATCCAAGAAGCCGAGTTAAGCAACGCTGATTGGGTTAGCAAACGGATTGATCAACTAGCTTTGATTGATGAAAAGTGAATGGTCGCCGTTTTCCATGGCCGGTTGTACAGACAGAGAATGACTCGCGCTTTTCACAAAAGAGTAAGAGCCAGAAATTTTGAAGTTGTCCAGTTGGTTCGTAAGCGTATTTTTCCTCATCAAGAAGAATATAAAGGGAAGTTCGCGCCAAAATGGCAAGGTCCTTACATGGTTCGTAAAGTATTGTCTGGAGGTGCTTTGGTCTTGTCAGAGATGGATGGCACTTTATGGCCCAAGTCTATCAACTCAGATGCTGTCAAGAGATACTATGCGTGAAGTTTCATTTTGGCATTTTTCTGTTATTTACTTGTATTCGTTATATTTGCTTGTATTTGTTAAAATTAGAATTATTATCCCTCTTGTAACGAACTATGTCTGACCTGAATTCTCGAGAACGAGATACGTAGGCGGCCAATGTTGGCTTCGGTCACCCCATTTACCCCCTTTAATTATTTCTTTGTATCTGAACTACGTTCGACCTGAATTCTAAAGAATGAGATACGTAGGCGGCCTTTGTCGGCCTCGGTCGGTTTCTTTGTAAAATTTAGTCTTTTTAACCTTTAAGGAGGAACTACGTTTGACCTGATTCCTGCCTCAACGGGATACGTAGGTGCCACAAGGGTTCGGTCATGTCTCTCGTAAAATTTCTATTCCCCTTTACAATAGAAACAGGGACAGAATTTTTGAGAGGGACTCAAAAATTCTTCAGAAGAAGCTTTCTCTTCAGCAAGTCAAACTAAAGACGTTTTGAGATTTGCGACTGGGTCAGAATTTTTAAGAGGATCTCAAAAATTCCGTGATTTGTTCGGTTACCATGGAAATATGAGCAAGATAGTAAACTGGGACAGAAATTGTGAGGATAGCCTCAAAATTCCATTATGGGTTTTCCCTATGAGTCCGGAGTGCCTCTGAAACTCATCAGCAAGCGTTAGATTCAAAGGAGCTCATTAATCCTGACATGACATGACTTGGCAGTGAATTTTTCAAGATACTCTTTCCTAAAAATTCCTTGTTTATCTTAAAATTTCCCTTTTATATTTCATTTGTTTTTGACATAAGATATTTTTCTTGTCTATCAAGAGTCGGGAAATTGGGAAATCAACCGGAGATATCTAGACAAGGAGCAAACAGTAGAAGAAATCAAAACAGAACAGTACGTTTTAAAACTGACGACTTTTCTGTGGATGCAGGTTCATAGTTTTGCTTTGAAATCGGCTTAATTCTTCCGATGGATGAATACGGAGAGCTCCCAAATAGGAGAAAACTATCTCCCAAAACCAGTGACTTTACCGAAAGAAGGAGGCATTTCATATTGGTTGTATCAGGATGCTTGGGAATGTGTTTGTTTATTTCAAGACATTCTCAACAATATAAAATCTACAAAAGTGCCTAGCCAGATTCAAAGGTGAACCAAACAGGAATCTCAACGAGGATTTCACGATTTCTGTAGAGGACGCTATTGGCATTACGTTATCAAGACTAGATAATTATTGTAAATCAAGACGATGCGTTACCTCAGAAGACACAGTTATGCTATTATTATTTTATCATTATCGATAAAGTCGGTATATTATTTGGAGGTCATTTTGCCTTTATTATAAACAAACAATATAAATATCCATGCATCGCGGATGTCATACACTGAAGAATCATGCATAGAGAAAATCATGCATCACGGAAGTCATACTGCAGAAATCATGCATCGCGGAAAAGTTATGCATTGCCGAAAACCATGCATTGCGAATCAACAATTGTGCACGATGAGAAGATTTCATGCCTCGTCAGAATTTATACATCGCGAGAGGATTTTATACCTCGCTGAAATATAGACATTGCGAGAAGAATTTATACCTCGCTGGAATTCATGCCTAGCAAAAATCATGCCTCGTTGAAAATCATGCATTGCGGAAAAGTCAAGCATCACGGAAAATCATGCATTGCGATTCAACAATTATGCACGACGAGAAGATTTCATGCCTCGTCAAAATTTATACATCGCGAGAAGATTTTATGCCTCGCTAAAATTTAGACATCACAAGAAGAATCCATGCCTCGTTGAAATTTTGCACATCACGAGAAGATTTCATGCCTCGCTGAAAATTATGCATCGTGAGAAGATTCATACCTCGCAAGAATTTACGTATCGCGGAAAGATAATCATGCCTCACAAGAGGACATACACGGATAAAGAAAGGGAAATTGCATATCCCAAGAACAACATTTATTCGTTGGCCTCGATTGCATTCTGTTATCTCTTATAAAAGTAAACATCAAGAAGAGCATCGAACATAACGACAAAAGAGACATCAACATCGCATTAGCGTCTATTTATTTATTTTAGCATCAAATGAAGAGTACACTGAAGATTTTATTGCAAAACACAAGGCATAAGCTTTATTTGCTGGACGTCAGACCGATCGAGTCAACGTTGAATATTGAGGAGAACAATGAGGTGTCGACATGGTAAAAAGACACTGTCTCCCATCCTAGTTGCATTTTTAAGCTGACGAGTTTTATCTCAGTCTTTGTCGAGAGCATCCGAAAAGGATGAATTCTCCAAAAAACAACAGGTGCGGACGACATCAAAATGGGATGCAGCACAAAGTGGAACTCTTTCTTAGCAGCGAACTGGGACACAGTCTAAAGAGGAATGTCAAACTCTTAGGGCGCGAGCAGAGAAGCGACTTCCACCATAATCGAACAACCCTCTCGAGGCATGTGGGTCTTCCTTTAGTTCTGTCAGTTTCAGTCTCGCATCTGAAAGTTTCGATTAATCGGAGGCAAGTTTCCAATCTGAGTGACAATACGCCAAGAGCTTTGGAAATTATGTCCGTGTAAGTTCTTAATTATGGGTGTGAAGCGCGCCACATTCATGGCTAAGAGGTTCCAATCCTCCTTTTCATACTCGTTTGATTTGTCGCTCGTCCAAAACCAAAGGTTATCTAGCATAATAGATTTCCTTTTCCCACCAAACGAGTCGAACTACACACAGCCTGATTCCGAAGGTTTAAGGATACGTAGGCAGATTCAATGATGAAACTCAGCTGTATTCCAACATTCTCTCTCGACTTCTATTCTTGAGCATTTCGATACCTTCATAATTTGGCGTCGAGGTGGCCTTTTGATTCTTTCAAATTATGCGATAAATCAAGCTTATAGAACTAAAGATGGCCTGAATTCTCATATAACCTGTGATATATAGGATACCTGTTTCAAGTGTTCGACCATAATTCCTAAACCCTTTGTCGAATCTTTCCTTCAAAATGAATGGGGTTGTTCAAAATTGGTTTGGTTAATTTCATTTTCCTCGAATTTCTTGCATCAACCCAAGTAAAATGAGGGACAGTTGTTGACACCCAATTTTGACCCAAATCGTTATAAATTAATTATCGAGCTTTCTAAATTTTCCAAATAATTTAAATTAATTATTTTTATAAATTTTATGAATATAATAATATAATACATGAATTTTATGTTACTTCGAATGCTTTTGCAATAATTTTTAGGTAATATACATATTTACATAATTATGTATATAGTTCGTATATGCCATGATTTTCCAAAAAAAAAACCAAAATATACATAGTTTAGTTTAGTAAGTATTTTATTAAACTAGTTTAATTTGAATTGTAATTATACTTTTTGAATCGCTTTTTGCGATTATGTCACTAAAATAGCGGAGCTCGTTAATTAAATAATACAAATTCCTTTTTATTTAAGGTTTAGCCTTTATTTTATTTTAATTTTGTTATTTTTGTTCAATTAATTTGGCCATCTTTATAAAAAAACCAACTTCATCCCACACCATTCCTTTACCTACCCAGGCCCACTCCTCTACCAAACCCAATTAATTCCCTTCAACCCAAATTAACCCCACCTATTTTCCAGGCCCAACGCCCCTTTCGCCAGCCCAAACATCCATCCCACTTCTTTTCTTAAAACTGGCCTAACACAAATTTTAAAATCCAACCCAATTCCATTAAATTTTCAACCCAGCCCACATCTCCCTCCGACCCAAACCCGCTCCAACCCAAGCCCAAGTCTTCAGCGGCCCACCTCAACTGTATCCAAAACCGGTTTCCCCTACCCGATCTAAACCTGCATCCTCCTTCCTCTTCCCCTTTCCTTCGTCAAAAATCTCTAGACGCGGAAGCGCAGAAAAATAAAACACCCCCCAAAACGGAAACCCCTCCCTCACACGAATCGCTGCAAATCGCGTCTCCTCCCCACGCTCTCTCCTCCTCTTGTCTCCCTTCCCTCGTCTCTCTCTTCGCGCGTGATGGAGGGGGTAACAATTTTACATCTTCTACCCTGCAACTCCGTACACGACTCTGCGCACAAGACGACGCGAGATCTCATCCATACGATGCGGATTTGAACCACGAAGCTCGCCAGTACCACAATTTCATCTCGACCCTCCACCTCTATTCCCGCTCGAATCGTCTTTCAGGATAAGGGGAGGAATTCGAATTTCAAATCGAAATGGGCCTGAAGGTAGTGGCCAGCCCTTTTCGTCCAAAAAAACCCCTAAATTCCCCTTCAATATAAACCCCACCCCTCTTCTGAAAACAGGTTGGAGATTTTGGGGAGAGAAAATTGTTTTGACTTCCGCTTGTTTTGTTTCGGAAGCTTTGGGGTTCACATTTTATCACAAGATTTCTACCATTTGTCTTTCATTCAGTTGTTTGAGAGAATTTTCAACCTGCGTTAAATGGGTTCTCCAAAACGCAATAGATAGAGATAAACCAAAGAGTTGAAACAAAAGCGGAGAACTACTTTCTGTTCTAGTACGGGTGACTGTAGTTTCTTTCGAGACGTCTTAGTGGTGGAGGTCATCGCTGTGCTGCTCGTATCCGCCCCGTCGCTGCCTCTGAAAAAGGTAAACACACGCAACTTGTTCATTCGTTTAAAGCTGGAACATGGATTCATCTATTCTTTTGTTAGTTTCAAGATACTTCGTGTGATATGAGTATGGTTTTGTATTTCACTGCCATGTTAAC